GGGGCATTTATTGGGGGCATAGGGGCATTTGGGGGTCACAGGCATTTTGGGGGGCACAGCGGCATTTGGGGGGCACAAGGACATTTGGGGGGGCACAGGGACCGTTGGGAGGGCAGAGGGGCATTTGGGGGGGCATGGGCATTTTGGGGAGGCACAGGGACATTTGGGGGTCACAGAGACATTTGGGGAGCACAGGGACATTTGGGGGTCACAGGGACATTTGGGGGGCACAGAGACATTTGGGGGGCACAGGGACATTTGGGGGGCACAGAGACATTTGGGGGGCACCAGGACATTTGGGGGTCACAGAGACATTTGGGGAGCACAGGGACATTTCAGAACTGGCGACACTGGGATAGAACTGGCGACACTGGGACATAAATGGGAATGCAGGGATGGGGACATTGGTACAGGATGGGGGACACTGGGATGGGACTGGGTTGGCGACATTGGGCTGGTGGCACAGGGACATTTGGGGGTCACAGAGACATTTGGGGGGCACAGGGACATTTGGGGGTCACAGGGACATTTATGGGGGGCACCGGGACATTTGGGGGTCACAGGGACATTTCTGGGGCGCTGGGGTACAACACCCTGTTGTTCCCGCCGCGTGGCAGAGCAGGTGGGGACACCCCCGCAGGGGGTTGGGGGAGGGGGCCCGGGGGTCCCCAGCACTCGGGGGGTCCCCAGAGCCCCCCCCTACCCCTCATCCAGGCCAGGCTGTAGCGCTGGCGGCACGAGGCCCGCAGGCAGTGGGAGGTGAAGAAGGTGCCGTGAGCCTCCACCAGCAGCTCGGGGTCCAGCCCCGCCACCCTCTCCAGAGTGTCGATGTTCTGGGGGGGGGTCCAAGGAGGGGTCAGGGGGTCCCCAAAATCCCCGTGACCCCCAAAAGAGCCGGGGGAGAGAGGGGCGCGTCCCACCTGGGTGTAGCAGCGCAGCAAGAGCCCCTTGTCCTGCAGCAGCCGCATGAAGTAGTGGCACACGGTGGGCTGGGGGAGGATCGGGGGGGGGGGGC